CAGTTACCATACAACTTTATACATGTAGTGATGTGGACGTCCCGGTGGAAGCAGTCAGTATATGAATTAAGTTTTACCATTACTTTTAACTAATTATCACTTGATAGACAACAAGTCGAATCCCAATGATCTGTAAAGATCACAGGGAGTAAGAGTTTAAGCGGTTTTTCGAGAGTTCGTACTATTTGTTCGAAGTTGAATCAGGATTTCTACAAAATTGCTGGTAACCAGTAGTATGATTCTCTCACCTCTAAAAATCTATGTTGGGACGAGAGAAAGGTGACGATCTTGTCTAGGGCAGTTTGCACTCACCAAGTCACAGTACCGTTTTAAGTCACGGATGGCGTTCCGTAAGAAGAACTCCTCCCATGTGACCATCCACCACATCTTGGTAAAAGTACCGCTGTTTATCCACGACCGCTTATTTAATGAACATCATGCCATCTCACTCACAACTGTCCACGTACTTGTAAGGTGTTTGACAATCTGTGACGTAGGGATGTGTCAAGTAGATACAGCAGTTATTCAAATATTGAAATGGTTCACATATAAATATTTATTTTTATACCACATTTATTTAGGCTCAACTAACATGTAAGTCTATTTATTTGAGTGGCATGACATGTTCAATTTTCTAAAACGTATTCTTCTCTTATTGAACAATGAAACGCTGTACTTCACAGTTCGAACATTCTTACTTCAATCAAGTTCATAACGGAAAAGAATAAGCAGTTGAACCCTTTAACGGGTCCGCCTCTTGGAGTCGACCATTTCAATGCTTCTGTTACTTTCTTGAGTAAAAGTAGCGACGAATCAGGATTTTTTTATATCAAGTCCAATCGTTTGCTAAAACATCATAACCTTGAAATGAAACCGTTTCAATGAAGTATCGGCCACTGTTTTCACATAGGTTTTTATGGAAAAAACAGATAGCTGACTCAAACATACCAACAAATCCATAAAACGTACTGACTATACCGATATTCTTCACTAACTGCAGTCCATTATAAGTACCTGATCGAACGAGCTTGAATTAAACAGCTGATTACGCACCTGATCCTTGGATTTGTTCAAAGTCACTGACTAGTGAAATCCAGCTGAATTGGGCTAAATGTTAATCATAATGGTAGTCCATCTCAGATTCCGACTGTTTTGTTTAGAACGCAGTAACCTTGCACATTTGTCTCCGGATGAGTAGAGATATTTGTTAGCAAACAAATTCAAGGAACAGACTGGCCTTATTTGTACATATACAAAAGTGACCATTAGCAGCTTCATTTTTAAGTAGGTCGTTCAACTAGGGCACAAACTCTCCTACATTCTATTGCCGTCAAGGCCGCAAAAGTGGAGTCTACTGAGGTGTAACGTTCACCGGTAGACTTTTTCAAATGTGTGTCTACCGAGGATTTGATTATCGATCGCGTGGGTGAAAAATATTTGTTTTCCTTCCGAGTGAGATGCAATATTTGTGGACCCCTTTGCACTGCAACTGCTTTCAGTATGATGTATCTTTTGTGTGGTATAAAAGCAGCATCCCACGTTAGCTTTCTCCTTATTTGCTATTCTATTTCCATCAACCATTCGGATGAAAGCTCTTCATTCTTTATCTTCTCTTTTAAACCCAGGTTTTTCATCGCCAAAGACGGCAGAATCTATCTTGGTCACGCGAAACTGGATCGAGAGAAATATCCGATGTACGAATTGATGGTTCGTGCTGAAGATCACGGAGTGCCCCGCCTCTCCTCCACTTCAGTTGTGAAAATTCACATTTTGGATGTGAATGACAATGCACCGAGATTTGTCTTCCCCTCGTCCAGTAACAATACAATCTACGTTCCAAGATCGACCAAGTATGATTTTACTCTGATATAGGTTTATTTGCGAACATCAATCCCCTAATTTAAATGTTGCATTGTGCACATGCTATGTCTATTTGACAAATTCGTCGATGAGGTTCATAAGGAAATTTAACTAAGAAAATAACCTCCCTCAGAATTTCAAACAACTACCAATGTATCTGTTATGAACATCGATTGCTAGTAAGGTGCGACAAAGCTCGATTTTGCAGCTAGTGGATACGCGCGTGATACTCAACCGAACTCACACGCAAATAGCTAAATGGGTTTAATATCGGTTGCCATTCTATATTAAATACGATGTCAAGCAGTAACGTAAATAGAACAGAGAAGGCAAATAGAGATGACCAAAATGGGAGAGCAACAGGTCAAGGCCTTTGATTCGGAGATCAAACGACGTGATCAACGAATGAGAGCTGCGTAACTAATAACGAAGCAACAAGAAAGGAAATTGCTCAAATTTCTAAATTACGCAGGGAACTACGGTCCAGCACTGTTCACTCAAAGGTCAGAAATGGAACAGCTATTGATACAGAGACAAGAGAGGTGAGAGACTGGCCTAAACTAATTTGGTACTCGGTGAAGCGCATCGCAGGTGGATAGCAGGAGGGATGGTTAGCCGAGAACATGACAAAAATATGGGCTGGAGCAGCATATGCAAAATCATGAGAGTATGGGCGTTCCACTACGTGTAATGTATGAAGCATATTTTCCGGGTTATAGAATTTAATTATCAGTGTACCTGGTAGTCTCTTCAACTAGTTACCATATATTTTTAGTTTAATTGTAACACACCCTAGGTTTGTGGAATTCGAACTGCTTCATATCACTCTCGCTGAAGGAAGTTGTCTATTATGACCACGAAACAGTCGCTTTGATTGCTAGAACTTTTCTCGCCTTGATTAATACATAAGCACGGGATGATGTATTTCAAGTTAAACGATAGATCCTTAATGGCCATCTTTTGACTCCATTCATTCCGATCAAAAACAAAATAAACATTTTCGAAAGGGCCATCATGAAATGTTGTCCTGATTGAAAGGCACTTGGAAAGAGCAATTACAAGGACGGTGGAGTATAACAGAGACGTTGGTTTAAAAGATGGAAAACGTTAAGTAAATTGTTTACTTAACTATTTTCCTGGGGCATATACTATGAGTTTAAATGGAATACCTTTCATGAGGTAGCTGTGTTCGTTCAGTAAGTTCAATGTCATGGAAGCGCCTCGGAAAAGCACAGTGCTGCTAGTTCATCGTTGGTAGGAATTTTCAGCAATGCGTACACAACGAATTGGCTACATTTTAAGCCCGAACATTAAGAATTGTTTTCCGGGAACATTAGCCTTTCAAGACAATCAAGGTGGTTCACAACGGCTTCCTGCAGGAGATCATTACGTGATTTATCTGTGACAATTCACTACCGTTATAGGTTAAGCTTTCTGGATGGGGACCTCGGGATGATCATACCCGATGGTTAGAGACACTGTGTGATATGGCTGGGTATCGTAAACAATGGCGTTCTTGCATCTCGTCGATTTCTCTGTAAAATTAGTGTAATGAAACTCTAAATTTTCTCTTCAATCCTACTTTCGAACCTTTTCTGTCTTTCTCCTCATGTTCATCCAAATGGGCAACCAAAAGATAGCAACCAATACCGGCGCACCATAGTGCATGGTTATTGGTTGTAGAAACTGAAACTGAAACCGTTGTAGACAAGAATCTTTAACAAAATGAGATCGACTTCTCGATGTGCAATTTCTGACATTAAGGTATTACTACGTTTGAGCGATATATGTAGTCTAGTAGGGCCTAATTTGTTTATGTTCGACGGGTTGGAACATTTGGTTGTTTAAACGGTTATTTTTTTCATTCACGATCAAAATGCTTTTCAGTAACGGAAAGCATCAAGTTGATACTTTCTCACATGGATGAAGTCACTATACACTGCTTTCAACACTTCTTCTTTGACGAGTGACATGTTGCATCGGTGTGCTGGTAAACAAATACATTTGAATATTGTTTCACCTAAACAATTTATTTTACTCAAAAACATTCTCGTACTATTTTGATGTACGTTCAACTGCAATCACTAACACCTTATTGATTTCACATAGCTGTGCTACCTTTTCTAAGTGAAAAACAATCAATAGTTTTTGGAGTTTAGTTCAGCTTTTATAAACATTTACCTTGCAAATTCATGCGACACTTTTGGTTGCTGTCTGTCTACCATCCACATGGCTAATCGATGACGAGAGGTCAATGTGTCAAGACCAGAATCAGAATACAGGTAGACCAACATTTGAGTGAAAACTTAGAACTCAGAAACAGTGCGTACTTCAAAACAAAGTAACAGATATTTCCATGGCACTAGGTGTTCCTTTTGGCCGATGTTCCACACAAAGCTGTAAAGTACGTTGGTGTTTAATGCTTGTCCGACATATGGTTCATTCTGAGGATCAGTGATTCACGTTTGAGCGCTGCAAAGCCTACAGCTTGGATCGTTTTGCTCCTGGTAATGAGCAAACACTTCAACTAGCATTACATGCGCATATCACGATGGGCAAACAACAAAGATGAATTTTATATGTCTTATGTGAAAAGTTCGGTAGCCTAGGTGGGATTCGAACCCGCGCATGGACGCCGCCTAAGCTTTGTACGCGCATGCTATACCAGCTGAGCCACGAGGCCACACCGATGGCACTGATCTTTTCACATTCGAATTTACCCATCCAACTTACAGAGGCATGTGGCATTCACCAGTTAGTATGTAAGCTGAGCTACGAGGCCACACAAATCTGCCAAACAACAATTTGAACAAAGATGAATTTACTTGGAAAGTGTACATTTGTACTTTATTTAGTATAATAGGGATTTAAATCGAATTATCAGGACGCTAGGAACAAGAAGAACCCACCCAAATTAGAGTACACATCACAGATCAATAATAGTCTGCCACTGGACTGCAATGGTGAAGGTTCATCAAAACCAATACTAAGTTAATTAGTTTAAACATACATGTACACATCTCTGTGCCTGACTAAATATAGATCTAAAATATCTAAAACTCAATAACTGGCTTATATTTTAAAAATATTTATCCAATTTTCCAATTAGTTCGATGAGGAATCGGTATTATTATACCGAACCTACTTCAAAACATTCCTCTTAAGCTAGGAAAATACTCCTTACAAAATATGTATATATATCGTATAATATTCATGCTAATTTGACGCCAATAAAATGTTCACATTTTTTCATCAAGATATGTATTAGAAAAAAACATGTTGCCTAATTCATACGTTTCACTCCATCATTCCCCCATCCCCATTCTCAAAAAGACCCGGAACCGTGGTTGCCCAGCTGTATGCGATCGATGATGATACGTATGAGAATGGAAAAGTTCTCTATGAATTACAGGAGGATCGAGTAGCACAAACGGGCAGCCTGTTCGCCCTGGATCCTCAATCTGGACATTTGAGCCTGCGGCATTCAATAGACGAAGTTGGAACACCAATGCTTATGGCTCAAACAGCTCGAAACAGTAACCGATCAGTATCCCCAAAACAAGAGAGCAATCGAACACAATCACCCGGGACAAAAGAGAGTCTCGGTGATTCCGTGTTGTTGCCGTCTGCCTACAGTTTGTTTGTGAATGTAAGTCACAGTTATTTGCTATGCACCCCTTTGAATCCAAACTTCTTTGTCAAAAGAGCTAAATATGGATCAAGTAATTTAAAGTATTGCACTTTGAGGCTTCGGGTGACCGTAGAATTGATGTTCTAACTTCGTACCAGACGAACACATGAAATGTCATGACATTTGACGAGTTTATCGACGCCAAAATATTTCTTTTTATCTGGCATCACAAGGGTTCTTGTAGAACCAAGTGGTCGATTGCAACGGCCAAGTAAACGCTTCATAATCCCCAAAATAATGAGAAGAGAGAAAACCCTCAACAACAAGATAAAGGCTATTCAAAATGGGGTGCGTAATTCACTTTTATTCGTTCACAACATGAGAGCGTTGGTACTATCGAACGGACAATTTATTTTGATGGATGAACGAACACCTTTTTCTTCTAAGTTCTCCATGGAAATACAACAAATTATATTAGCGTTTTTTCTACCTTTGTTTGGTGAGAAAACATTTGATGTGAATACCTCGGTATCTTTGGAAAGCCAAGAAAAGTTAAGTCACTGTAAGAACTTGCTTGATGATACCATCAGGTGACGATTCAGCTGCTAGAGATCCACATAAATTGGAGAGACTTATAAGTGCGTTAGACAAAGAACTACCGAGTACTTGTACACTTCTGCGTGTGCCTGGAGCAAACAAAGGAAGTTGAGATATATTTAGACAGTCCGGAGTTAAGATGGTGGCAGAAATCTGACAGTATGTTACGAGCCAAGATTTGGTGTGCTCTGAGACAATAAGATAGACTATATGAGTTGTGGATTAACCGCAACACGTGGGCACATGTTTAAGTGATGTGGATATCACACATATCCTTTTACTAAAAGGCAAGAAAAACCCTGGTGAGGCAGAGAGACAGCGTGGCAAGATGCAAGCATGCACAAGCTGCCTTATCTGATGGGTAATAGTGAATAAGTGCCTTCGGTGTGGGACAAAAAAACGAAAGCCTTCTGACTTTGGCAAATACACTGTTGATGTGCTCAGAGTAAGTGATAAAATGGTCAAAGCAACAGCCTAGTTTTTAACCGCTGTTTCCGACTAATGAATGTCGGCTGGTACATCCCAAGAATATGAAAATATGATTTGCTCCCACGGAACGAAAATAAAACATAACACATTTAGATTGGTTCATAGAAAAGTTGTGTGAAGTAGACAACTATTTAAGCTCTGAGATACCAAGCTGGATAGCAAGGATGATAGAGTTGTTCAGACAGGGTAAGTCAAAGATAACTTCATCTGTGTATATGATCAGTATGGATTCGGTTCAAAGAGGCGCGGAAGTTAAGCAAGTGGATAAGAAGATAAGGGTTAAAAATACTCCCTAAAGAATCCCTCTTTCGAAAGGTATGAGTAGGGAGAGGTTGCAACAATAAACTATTTTCGAAAGAAAAAATAATAATGAATGAAGACAGCGGTAGAGGAGGGGCTCAACAGTTTGCAAGAATAGTCAGAAGCTGATCTCTACCAACGCCTTCAAATGTGTCAAACAGCCTAAAAACGGACTCGTCAAGTTTTGCGAAGATAGGATAAAGTACATTAGGGAAGCAAGTGTATCAAGGAAGAACTACATACGACAACAATCGAACTGATTACAACCAGTAGTGTTCAAATGTGAAAGAAATATGCGTAAAATTCTTCTGTCAATCACCTACAGGGCTGTGGAAGTACAGCCCATACTATGAAACTTCATAGAACGTTTTGTAGTAATTGATATGATGCTGGTTGCGTTTTAGCAATCCTGTACTAAACAGTGGAAAATAGAACATTTGGAGAGTTTTACCAGGATAGTTGACTGAGTACTAGTGCGTTCTTTTGACATGATGGGTTAAATCCACCTGCTCTGTCAGTTATGTAACGATTGTAGCTCTTCACATGTTTCTGTCGGATCAGTCATCCAAGGATAATTGTAGAGTACTCTGAGGGAGGTGCTTCACAGGGGAAGAAGAAATCGATCAAATTTGATGAGGAGAGTTTCCCCTGAAAAACAAACATCGAAATGTAAGCAAAGATACTCTGTTAGCTGAATACAGAAAGTAAACGGATCAGGGCCAAAAAACGGGGAAATCTGACAAAGCAACCGTTTCCCTCAGTCTCGTAATATCTTTTGGATAAACTTGTGGTCTGCGAAGCTCTAGGGAAGGGTAAAGGATAAGGGCTTTTGGTCAAGGGAACTGAAAACCTTGGAGGAGGACTTAACTGCAAAGCGGTCAGAGGATCCAATAAATAAACTACGGGAAACTGAAAACATTCCAGGTTTGTTTGTAAAACATAGACCAAGAGTGTTATTCATCCTTTTAAAGAAGGTTAGAGAAGTTTTCAAACTCAGTATAACTAAATTTAGACATCAATGTGATTACAACTACCACACACCACGCAATCATCTATAAGATTCAGCAAACCAGGGGAGAGATACTTTGAAAATTCGGTACATTTATCTGAGAGGTTGAGCGAATAACTGACCTGTTGTTTCATAGGTATCTAGGCTTGCATTCAAGATAGACGAGGTAATGTGGAAGATGGATCAATTCGTTTCCGTGCCAATACATCAAAATATACGTCAACATTTAAACATAATGTTGTTTTGAAAAAAGAGAAAAGTAACATCATGGTGAATGGAAAGACGGCCTCGGAAGGATGTGTATCGTTCAAGGTGAAACGAAATTTGATGCACTGTCGAGGAATATAGGTCAAAGAAAACGCAGTGGAAGAGGAGCTCCGGTTCCTAAGAACTATCCCCACACATGATGGGCACCCCAAGGGTCTGGTAAGCAGGATGCTTCAGTGTAGTACAGTGCAGATATTATGAAGAAAACCGAGCTTAGAAGACAGATAGAATATCTTGGTCTTTCGGTCGATGTGAATTCCTAATCAGAGGAAATAAAAATGTGAAGAAAACTATCTAGTGCTTTTAGTTAGACACTTCGTGAAGCACAGTTCACTGATTTGTTTAAATCCAAGACAATTATGTCCTTACGGCTGAAGGAAAAATATTTGACTCCACTGCCTCTTTTGTGTGCTAAAACTTACGTGTTCCCATGGAACATAGGTAGCACGCTCTGGCGTTTGTACGAACGAATCTGTGAGCATCACCCTACATGGCTGAAAACTATATGATGGTATGATTTCTGTTAGCTAGTGAATAGTTTCAAATTCGATCTCACTATTCAGGTGCAATACTGTTACTTCTTTTGCTGTATCCTTGTACCATTGTTAAGTATCTCGTCGAGTGTGTACTTCAATGTCAGAAATATGTAAGCAATCGCATTTCATTAAAAAGAATCGGTGTTATTTGAGGGAATCACGGAACCAATGGAATTTACTCACCAGGAAATTGAGGGCCTAGACTGACTCCACTCGTGCAACGGATCATGCTCACATTCACGTCTGAGCACGATGACCGATTTATCAATCCATCTTGATGTGAATCGTTTCTTTACCCAACCGACAGAGGTCAATTAACGCCGGGTTCGTTCATTCGTGTCTATGACGCACACCCGATCAACGATCACGGACCTAACGTGTCAGGTTGGGGCGCGGAGAGGGGGGGGGAGAACAGCCCACCTCATCCCACGGAACTCTTCATCCTGGCACGGTAACACACTGAACAAGTACTTTTGTTTGTGTACGGATAAGTTAGTTCATTCGGACTGGACGGGGTTTAGACAGACGTGGTCCAATTGGTGACATTTGACGGCCGCAACATCAATAATCTCGTGGGGTTCCCAGTGGAATGCGATTGGTTAGATTCACTTGAAGTCGGAAAGCTATGGAACGACTGGATTGAGCAAACATGCAGTGGCTTTACACCTAGCTAAAAAGTATCACGTGGTCAAAGCGACCGAGGCAGTCCCCCTACTGTAGAGTTTGCGGTTGACCATCAAACAGGGATTGCTGCAAATAGGATTTTGTCTGTACAACCGTTTCTGTGTTCCCAAACACAATTTGTACGAGAACTTCAGCTCTCGTGGCCTACCCCATAAACTTGATAGCCTCGATGAAGAGATGAACTAAGCAATGATTGTGATTTCTAGTGAGTAATGGAGGATTTGCTTAAAGTTCAAAGGTGATTTCGTCGTGTATATATATGGCAAATGAAGCGTGAACTGAAAACCTAGGTGATTGTGATGCCAGGTGGTCAAGTGGGCAATACGCTTTTCTTATGTCCCGAGTTCGGTCCTCAGTTTGACCGGTGGATTCGTACTGCTAGTGGTGTCAATCGGGACGAAACTACTGTCAGGCTTCCTAACTTTTCACTTCACAAAGTAATCCGATGAAATCCGTTATTTGATCATTGCAAACCCCTTATCCGTTCCCACGGCGAAATTTGCCCCAAATGGTGTGTGATTTAATTTCCCCTTTTGCAAAATGACTTCCAGTCTGTCTGCTTTTTTATGACATATTGGGGTAATTACGAATCACATAAAACGAGTTTATTCGCCATTCGTTGTTATATTTAGAGTATGCTGCCTGGGATTAATTTGATAAATAATCGGGCCATCCTATACTTTGGTATTTTGTTTTTATACATAAACATGCGAAATAAAATTTGATGTGTAAACCAGTTGATGAACCACCGAAAACAAAATTGTTCATCCAACTGTGTTTGCCTTCAATGTGCTGCTGGTAAATTCCTGGGAATACCATCTTTAATCCCATCATCGTCGTCATCATCATGATCCTTTTTTTCAATCAATAACGCCCTCCATTATTCAAACAAATTACCTTTGAAACAAAATAAACGCATCAGCTTGAAAAAAATTAGTGTGGTAAATTGACGATTCGGCGACAACCGAATCATCATCATCACTTGCAATCTTTCCGACAGAGACAACACTTTCTTGCCGGGAACAGGGACTGTTTATGTGCCCTTTGCATGCTATCGAGATGAGTTCACATTCCGACGCGTTTGCTGAATTGTTTCGCTCCACCTGAGTGAGAGAATGAATGGCTCCATGCTTGAG